GGCTCATCAGGAACATCAGCAATACTAATTTTGTTATCTTTGTCCCCCGTTAACTTCCTGAATTTACTCTGTTCATCTACACTAGCAGTTTCTGAAGTAACTGGTCTGTTTTCACTATCAAGAACCCCATTAATGTGTGTACAGGTTTCCTGCAAACCATCAATAACAGTGGAAGATTCATTAGTATTCGTCCGAGCAGCAAGTTTTTGCTTCTGAAGTTTTCTCACATGAGTCTTTAAATGTTTAAGCATTTGTCCCCTCAATCTAAATTTTCTTGCACAAATTAGGCAAGAGAAGGCACCTTTTTGCGGATGAACCTGTGCATGGCGTACAATGTGCCCACCAAGAAATTCCTTTTTACATAACATACAGCGATGCATTGAAGCAAGGTGGCCATCTGCTCTGGATGCACCTGGGATTAACTGTGGCATTTTATTATGTTTTTCCTTATTCTTGATTTTTGAATTTCCATTAGAAGACAAGTTATCTCCATGCTTTGAAACTAGTTTACATCCATGTGCATTAGTTAAGGCTACTTTGTTACGGATTAAAGCAAGACAGCTTTTTTTCAAAATCCGCCAGTCCCAAAATTCTGGATCAAAAGGCCAGGTGGTTTTTAAAACAAGCAGCAGCTCACAGCGAAGGAAACTTGGAACCAAGCTAGTATCTTCAGTGTATAGCTGATCTGGCTGACTGTACAGACTTTCAACAGCGTGGAAAGATTCCAAAGTGCACTCGGAGAAAAAAACTGTAATGGTGCAAGCTCTACAGAAATCCAAATCATTTGGCAGCAGATAGGAGAGTGTTTTACACACCAAAGTTTTAGTATTTGGTTCATCTTGGTAATCTATCCGTAGAGCACGTGCACAGAGCTCCACACAGAACTGCAAGCCTTCAGTTCCAACCTATATTTAAATAATACATATTTAAAATTATTCAATATTTGCATTAAAAACCAAAGAAGAAAAACAAACTGGCTGCAAAAATACATTGCGGCTTTAGACAAAAGTGACAGCATTAGCAATGTGATTCTTAACTTCCATCTCTGTACAATAAGTAGAATAAGGACCAGTGCTAAATAGATTACAGTAAATAAAGATTTTGGAGAGGGTGCACCAAAAAAAGGAGAACTGAAGTCTTCCCTTACTGTGCCCAGTAAAACAATTTTTTTTAAAAAGTTCATACAGAAGATGTCATTAGCTAGACCAGAACTTAGTGTCCATCCTCAAGTTAAAACTCAACCGGAGTTGAGTCACATGTAGGCAAAACCGGGTAAGGATGGCCGAGCAGCAAGTTTTTGCCCTTATACCACTTCATTAGGTAATCTTGCACATTTTCATCAGAGGAGTGACATTTCCGTGCATGCTTAGTCAGAAACTGAATCTTACTGAAGACCTTTGAACAACTATGGCCTGGACAGGACAGGAAACTTTCATGTCCACTCTCATTTTCCAATTTGTCTTTTGAAACAGAACCATCTTGTATCTGTTCTTGTCTGCATAGAGCTCCATTATTTTTGTGAGCAGTCGAATTTTGCTTACTAAGAACACAGTTTTGAGTGTTCTTTTCAGTTTGAACAGTTGCTGTATCTGAACCAAATATTTCCTTTGTCACTTGATCAACTACATCATCATCCGGTTGAGGAGCAACATCTTTATTAGGATCTTCCTGAACTTCCAAACGTTCATTTAGTGCTCCATGTAGATCAGTTGAACACTGTGGCTCATCAGGAACATCAGCAATACTAATTTTGTTATCTTTGTCCCCTGTTAACTTCCTGAATTTACTCTGTTCATCTACACTAGCAGTTTCTGAAGTAACTGGTCTGTTTTCACTATCAAGAACCCCATTAATGTGTGTACAGGTTTCCTGCAAACCATCAATAACAGTGGAAGATTCATTCCTTCCCTAAAGGACGTTAGTAAATCAGATGGGTTTTCACAGCAATCAATAGTTATATGGTCACCATTGAGCTAGCATGTTTAAAAATATTCCAGACTTTTTTTTTTATTTTAAGTCAAATTTCACCTTCTGTCATGGTGGAACTTGAACTCACATCCCCGGGACTTGAAACTAGCGTTCTGGATTACTAGTCCAGTAACATTACCACTGTGTCACTGCCTCCCTACTTCTTCGTATATAGTCACCAGGAAAATATACACCTGTACAAACAAAAATCTTTAAAATATTTATTTCAAACAAGTTCAAATGTCCAGAATCTTGATAATTTAAAAAATGGCAAAACAAGAGTATCATGGATCTTGCAGCTGCTCCCGAGTTGCAGGATTTTCTTGTGGATTTCTTATGGTTATGATATAGCAGGAGTAGAAAATTTTCATTTTGACCTTTTTTGGAGCTTTTTATAGTCTAAAAGAAACACGAGGTAGTGTTTCTTCCACACACAACCTCTCCCCGCCCCGGCAACATCATCTGTGGAAGAGGCCACCACGTGTGTTTGTTGAGTGTCAACGTGGAGAGGGATTTTTCAGTTTGAAACTTTTATAGTTTAATAAAAATATGCAATAAAAACAAGGAGAGATTGTTTTACAGAGCTTTTGGAACAGGCCTGTCTACGTGTTTGTTCAATGTCGCTGGACAGAGATTTTTCTGTTTATCAGGAGATTTAAAAGCTGACTGATAGAGGACTAGAGGAGGTGGCTTTTTCCTCGGGTTTCAGCTAAGTGCTTGACGTTTTTTAAAGATTTTAAATGTTTTTTTAACTTTTTTTGCATGCTTATGATTAAAATTTGAGGATATGGAAAGGTACTTTTTTTTATAGACAAGGTACTTTTAAGAGCTTCTTTTTAGGTTTAATGTCGGCATTCAAGAGACAGAATGTCATTTGGAGAGGTATGTGATCAGTCAGATAGATGGGTGATTGTCAGGAAAGGTAAGAAGGTAGTTCAGAAGTCTCCTGTGGTTATTCCTCTCTCAAACAGATATTATGGGTATAGTTAAAGAGGATAGTTCTCAGAGGAAAATAGAAGGACAGTCAGAACGAATCTTGTGTTAGGTGGGGCTTGCCAAGATTTAAAAGAATAATTGTTACTTGGGACTCTCCTGTCAGGAGTACAGACAGGGGATTCTGTGGTGATGAGGGTAAAGCTAGGATAGTACACTCTCCCGGTGCCAGGGTTAAAGACATCTCAAAATAGTTGAAGATTATTGTCATAAGGGGAGAGTGAGAAGGCAGAAGTTGTTGTTCACATTGGTAGGAACAACATAGTTACGGAAAGGGTTAAAAGCTTTGCATAGTGAATATAAGAAGTTAGGTGGAAGGTTGAAAAGCAGAACCTCAAAAAGGTAGTAATCTCTCCTTTACTCCCGATGACACATTCTAACAAGAGTAGCAATAAAAAGATAGGACAGACAAATCAATGGCTGAAGAGATAGTGCAATGAGGATTCAGATTTTTGGATCAATGGGATCTCTTCTACAGCAAAAAAGACCTGTTCAAAAGGGATGGGTTTCACATATACTGGAAAGGGACAAATATCCTGGCAGGGAGATTTGTTAGTTCTATTTCAGGAGCCTTTAAACTAGTAGAGAGAAGGGGGTTCCTATGTAGCGGTAAAATAGAAAGACAGATGAAGATGGTTCTGTTACAGAAAAGAATAATTTTATTAGAAAAAGCAGATAAGGACAAGTCAGAGAACGAGGTAACTCTGAAGAATTAAACTGCACTTATTTCAATGAAAGACGACTTACAGGTAAGGCTGATGAACTCAGGTCACGTATAGGAACAATGGACTGGATCATCTTAGCTATCAGAGAAACTTGGCTAAGGAAAGGACAAGACTGGCAGCTCAATGTTATTGTTTTAGATGCAATAGGAAGGATAGAAAGGGAAGCAAAAGAGGAAGAGGAGTGGCATTTTTGATGAAGGAAAACATTGCTACTGTAACTAGAGGATATTTCTAAGAGATTATCCAGTGAAAATATATGGGTAGAAATTGGAAATAAGAAAAGGATGACACTTTAAGATGATTGAACTGTAAGCCACCCAATAGTCAGAGGGAAATAGAAGAGTATATATGTAAAGATCCCTCAGACAGTAAAACGTAGGGTATGCAAGGTAGTTTGATCTTAGTAGGATAATAGGTCGGCACAACATCGTGGGCTGAAGGGCCTGTACTGTTCTATGTTCTAGATATATGTAAGAATAATATGGTTGTAATAGTAGGGGATTTTAATTTTCCAAACATTGACTGGGACTTCCACAGTGCTAAAGGCTTGGATGGTGAGGAATTTATTAAATGTATTCCAGAAAAGTTTCTTTATCAATATGTAAATATATCTATTAGAGAAGGAGCAAAACTTGACCTCCTCTTGGGAAATAAGGTAGAGCAAGTGACTGAAGTGATAGTAGGGCAGCGCTTTGGGACTAGTGATCATAATTCTGTTAGTTTTAATATAGTTATGGAAAAGGATAAGTCTTCCATAAAAGTTAAAAGTTCTAATTGGAGTAAGGCAAATTTTAATGGTATGAGACAAGAACTTTTAAAAGTTGTTTGGAGTAGACTGTTCGCAGGTAGAGGACAAGTGACAAGTTGGAGACTTTCAAAACTGTGATAATGAGGGTCTAGAGGCATTAAGTTCCTGTTAAAAGTGAAGAGTAAGGCTGGTAAGATTAGTGAACAATAGATGAAGATATTGAGGTTCTAGTCAAGAAGAAGGAAGAATCATACATTAGATATAGATAATTGGGATCAAATGAATCTCTTCAAGGAGTACAAAACAGTAGAAGCATTCTTAGGAGGGAAATCAGCAGGGCAAAGAGGGGATATGAGATAGCCTTGGCAGATAATGTTAAGGATAATCCAAAGAGATTATATACGTACATTAAGAGCAACTAAAGAGAATAGGACCCCTTTAAGATCAACGAGGTTGTCCTTGTGCTGAACCTCGGGTGATGGGTGAGATACTTAACGAATATTTTGCATCAGTTTTTGCTGTGGAGAAAGAAATGGAGGCTAGAGAACTTGGGCAAATAAAGAGACAACAAGGTGCAGGGCTGGATGAACACAGCAGGCCAAGCAGCATCATAGGAGCAGAGAGGCTGACATTTCGGGCCTAGACCCTTCATCAGAAAAGGGGAGGGGAAGGGGGTTCTGAAATAAATAGGGAGAGAGTGGGAGGCGGATAGAAGATGGATAGAGGAGAGGATAGGTGGAGAGGAAACAAACAGGTCAAAGAGGCGGGGATGGAGCCAGTAAAGGTGAGTGTAGGTGGGGAGTTAGGAAGGGGATAGGTCAGTCCAGGGAGGACGGACAGGTCAAGGGGGCGGGATGAGGTTGGTCGGTAGGAGATGGACGCGCGGCTCGAGGTGGGAGGAGGGGATAGGTGGGAGGAAGAACAGGTTAGGGAGGCAGGGACGAGCTGGACTGGTTTTGGGATGCGGTAGGGGGAGGGGAGATTTTGAAACTTGTGAAATCCACATTGATACCATTGGGCTGCAGGGTTCCCAAGCGGAATAGGAGTTGCTGTTCCTGCAACCTTCGGGTGGCATCGTTGTGGCACTGCAGGAGGCCCAGGATGGACATGTCGTCTGAGGAATGGGAGGGGGAGTTGAAATGGTTCGCGACTGGGAGGTGCAGTTGTTTATCGCGAACCGAGTGTAGGTGTTCTGCAAAGCGGTCCCCGAGCCTCCGCTTGGTTTCCCCAATGTAGAGGAAGCCACACCGGGTACAGCGGATGCAGTATACCACATTGGCAGATTGACACCTGCTTGATGTGGAAAGTCTTCTTGGGGCCTGGGATGTGGGTGAGGGAGGAGGTATGGGGGCAGGTGTAGCACTTCCTGCAGTTGCAGGGAAAAGTGCCGGGTGGGGTGGAGCTGGAGGGGAGTGTGGAGCGGACAAGGGAGTCACGGAGAGAGTGGTCCCTCCGGAAAGCAGATAAGGGTGGGGAGGGAAAGATGTCTTTGGTGGTGGGGTCGGATTGCAGATGGCGGAAGTGTCGGAGGATGATGCGTTGGATCCGGAGGGTGGTGGGGTGGTACGTGAGGACGAGGGGGATTCTTTTTTGGTTCTTATTGCGTGGACGGGGTGTGAGGGATGAGGTGCGGGAGATGTGGGAGACACGGTTGAGGGCGTTCTCAACCACCGATGGGGGGGGAAGTTACAGTCCTTGAAAAACGAGGACAACTGAGATGTACGGGAGTGGAATGCCTCATCCTGGGAGCAGATGCGGCGGAGGCGAAGGAATTGGGAATAGGGGATAGCATTTTTGCAGGAAGGTGGGTGGGAGGAGGAGTATTCTAGGTAGCTGTGGGAGTCGGTGGGCTTGAAATGAATATCGGTTTCTAGATGGTTGCCCGATATGGAGACAGAGAGGTCCAGGAAGGGGAGAGAGGTGTTAGAGATGGTCCAGGTAAACTTAAGGTTGGGGTGGAAGGTGTTAGTGAAGTGTATGAACTGTTCGAGCTCCTCGTGGGAGCACAAGGCGGCGCTGATACAGTCATCAATGTAACGGAGGAAGAGGTGGGGTTTAGGGCCGGTGTAGGTACGGAAGAGGGATTGTTCCAATAAACATTATTTTGAAAACAGTTCATATTACAGAAGAGGAAGGCTGGAAGACTTAGAAAACATAAAAAGGTGGATAAATCTCTGGGACTAGATCAAGTGTATCCCAAGGTGTTGTGGAAAGTTAGGGAGGAAATTGCAGGGTCCCTAGCAGAAATATTTGTATCACCTATAACCTGGGTGAAGTCCGGAGGACTGGAGGGTGGCTAATATTGTGCCTTTATTTACGAAAGACTTTAAAAGGAGAAGTCTGAGAACTATAGACCTGTGACCCTGCTATCAATGGCAGGTGAGTTGTTGGAGGAGATTCTGAAAGACAGGATTTATATCCATTTGGAGAGGGAAGCGTCAACTAGGGATAGTCAGCATGGTGTTGTGCTCAGAAAATCATGTCTCTCAAACTTGATCAAAGCTTTTTAAAGAAGTAACCAAAAAGATTAACGAGGGCAGAGTGGTTGATGTCATTTATATGGACTTTGACAAGGTTCCACATGGTAGACTAATTAGCAAAGTCAGATTACACAGATTCAGGGTGAGCTTGCCAATTGGACCCAAAATTGGCTTGATGGTAGGAAGTGGAGGAGGGTTGTTTTTCAGACTGAAGACCTGTGACCAGCTGTGACCCACAGGGATGGTACTGGGTCCACTTTTGTTTGTTATTTATATAAAATGATTTGGATGAGAATATAGGAGGCATGGTTAGTAACTCGGCAGATGACACCAAGATTGGTGGTATAGTGGACTGAGGAAGGTTAACTAAGATTAAAAAGAGATCTTGATCAATTAGGTCAATGAGCTGAGGAGTGGCACAGAGTTTAATTTGGATAAATGCAAGGTATTGCACTGTGGTAAAACAAACAACGGCAGAGCCCTGGGCAGTATTGTAGAACAGAGAAACCTGGGGGTTCAGGTACATAATTGTCAGAAATTTGTGCCACAGGTAGACAGGACGGTTAAGAAGGTGTTCAGCATACTTGCCTTCATTGCTCAGACCTTTGAGTATAGGAATTGGGACATCATGTTGTTGTTGTACTGGACATTAGGTGACCTCGTTTGGTACTGTGTCCAATTCTGGTCACTCTGCTCTTGGAACGTTATTATTAAGTGGGGAGGATTCAGAAAAGATTTACCAGGATATTGCCAAGAATGGCGGGTTTGGTTATAAGGAGAGGCTGGAACTTTTCACTGGAACATAGGAGGTTGAGTGGTGACCTTGTAGAGGTTTATAAAATCATGTGTCATAGATAAGGTGAATAGCTCGGGCTTTTTTTCCTAGGGTGGGGGAGTTCAAAACTAGAGGGTATATTTTTGAGGTGACAGGAGAAAGTTTTAAAAAGAATATGAAGGGAAATTTTTTTGAACACTGATTCATGTTTGGAATGAACTGCCAAAGGAAGTGGTGGATGCAGGTACAGTCCAAATATATTTGGATAAGTACATAAACAGGAACGGTTTGGAGGGATATAGGCCAAACGCAGGTCAGTGGGGACTAGTTGGACCGAAGGATCTGTTTCCGTGCTGTACGATCTGTAGTAGTGATCGGTACCTCTAAGCAAAATGCCTTGACGCCACAACTCTAACTAGTTGGTTCTTCAAGGAAAAACACCAAAGGTCTGAAGCATGAACAATTAAATTTTCCGGAGGAGGTAATAAAATAAGGTTGAGTAAAACATTTAAAGAGTACAGGCCTGCAAGTAAATAGTAATTAACGTTAAAAGGGGCTGAAGTTGCAACATCTCAGGACATAAAAAGATAAAGTCTCTCTGCTATTCACAAACAAGTACAACAATGGCCAAGTATTATCGCTAGACTATTAATCCAGAAATTCAACTAATGTTCTGGTGACCCAGGTTCGAATCCCACCACAGCAGATGGTAGAATTAGATTTAACGAGAAAATATTTTGAACTAAGAATCTACTGATGACCATGAAACCATTGTCTATTGTTGGAAAAATCCACCTGACTCACTAATTTCCTTCAGGGAAGGAAATCTGCCATCGTCACCTGGCCTGGCCTACATTTGACACCAGAACCACAGCAATGTGGTTCACTCTCAACTGCTCTCTGAAATGGTATAGAAAGCTACTCACTTGTATCAATCGCTACAAAGTCTCAACAAAAAAAAAAGAAACTGTACAAATCACCTGGCATTGACCTAGGCACCAGAAAAAGACAGCAGAAACACTCTCCTCACTACCACCTTCTCAAGGACAAGTATGGATGGACAGTAAATGCCCACAAGCAAATAAAGAAAAAGACTTTGCTACCTCTCATATTGATAAACCAAACCAAGATTTCTAAGCCACTTGATGAGAGATTTGTGGGAATAAATGGGTCATTTCTTTCCATCTGTTTTGCCATTCAATTAGATCACTGCTGACTTGCACCTGAAGTCCATAATACCCTTGATTAAGCAAAGCTCATTAACCTGATTTACAATTAACAATTGAGCCAACACCTGGCATTTGCAGAAGCAGTTCTAAACTTTTAACATCATTTGTGTTTTCTAAAATTATTCCTTACAGGCCTGGATCTAATTTGCTAGATTATTCTCCAAATCCCAGACTCCCTAATCAAATGGAAATTGTTAATTTCTAATTGTCCTATCAACTGTACTTGATATCTTGAAAACTTGGTAAATCACACAATCCCAAATCCCAGGAAACAATCTTAGTTGACAGCTCTTGTAGTACAATGGTAGTTTCCCCTTCTTTGAGCCAAGAAGCTCAAGCTCAAGTCCCACATGCTCCAGATGTGTATCTCACTGAACAGGTTAATTTAAAATATCTATAATCCTAGTTGTGTAATATCTCTTCTTAATTTAACCCCTGCACTGCAGGTACCAGGCCGGTAAATCTACACTGCCAAGGCTAACATATCCTTCCTCAGGTGTGGTTAATCTAGGGCTTTGTATAATTGCAGCTCAATCACTACATTCTTTTCATTCTAGTCCGCCCAATAATCCATCTGCCTGATTATTTTCTATAACTGCCTACAGCATTTTAATGATCAATGCACAGCAGCAAGTTGCTTACCTCATTCTGAATGACCCTAATAAAGAGGAAGATATGATTCACATTTCTGGATGTTAGTAAAAGATGACGACATTTCTCTAGAAAGTGTTGCTTGGATGAATCAAGTTGCAGCTGCAGTTTGCTCCACACCAGTATCAACTCCCTGTATAAAATTAAAAGCTTACAGTAACAGGTTAAAATTGGAGTTATCCTTACAACCACTGGATGATAATTAGAAGCTTCTGCCCAATTAACAATGTGCCATGTAGTAGTTTCTAGTCTGGTTCACCCAAATAGCTATTGTGCTGAACAATTTACAAAAGTTCTTCTCTCATCCCATTTATCCAAGCCACCCAAAACAAAAGCAATGTCTCCAGCTCAGTTCAATGTAATTTGGCAAGAAATAAGATTTAAGCTTATAACACCTTTTCAAAATTCATTAATCTTATATTTAGCCCTACAGCTAGCATCATACACATTTAAAGTGAACGTTGCTAATATTTTGCAAAGAAATACAATTTGGAAACACTAGATTGTTTTTACAAATAGTCCAATCATGATAACATATCAATGGAATCACTAAATACAATTTGAACAGTCAGGATGAGGCAAACAAGGTGGATTAAAAAGGGAAAAATGAGAGACTGAAGCATCGAAAGAAACTGGATCCATAAAGTGTCTTCACTTTGTCAATAAATTGTCACAATTTTTGCTAACAACCTGTGCAATTAAATATTCCCACAAGTTTAAAAAAACCTATGTATTAGGGGAAGCAGGCCATTTGACCCATCAGGATCACAAATCATTACACAGTGCAGGAAGAGACAATTCAATCCATCACATCTGCAATGTGAGCATTATGACTTGCCATTCACCAGCCATATCTTGTATCCTTGCACCTTATTTCTATTTAAATATTCATCTAATGCTCTCCTGAACGCCTCAATTAAATCTGCTTCCATTACATTTCCAGGCAGTGCATTTCAGCCCCAAACTATTTGTGAAAAAGCATGTCTTACATCAGATTTGCTAGATTCAAGAGTCATTTTAAATGTGCCCTCTTGTTCTCAATCCAGTTTCTGCTCATCTTCTCTATCTAGATATCTCATGATTTGGAAAACTTAACAGATTTCCTCTTATCCTTCTCTCCAAGGAGAACAGTTCCAACCTCCCTAAAGACCATAAGACATAAGAGCAGAAGTTAGGCCATTTGGCCCATCAAGTCTGCTCCGCCATTCAATCATGGCTGATAAATTCCTCAACCTCATTCTCCTGCTTTCTCCTCGTAACCCCTGATAATCAAGAACCTATCTATCTCAGTCTTAAATGTACTCAATGACCTGGTCTCCACAGCCTTCTGTGGCAGTGAATTACCACTCTCTGTCTGAAGAAGTTTCTCCTTATCTCCGTTCTAAAAGGTCTTCCCTTTACTCCAAGGCTGTGCCCTCAGGTCCTAGTCTCTCCTACAAATGAAAACATCTTCCCAACATCCACTCTGTCCAGGCCATTCAGTATTCTGTCATTTTCAATTAGATCCCCCCCATCCTTCTAAACTCCAAGGAGTATAGTCCCCAGAGTCCTCAAATATTCCTCATGTTAAGCTTTCCATTCCCGAGACCATTCCCGTGAACCTCCTCTGAACCCGCTCCAGGGCCAGTACATCCTTTCTGAGATAGGAGGCTCAAAACTGCATACAATACTTCAATTGTGGCCTGACCAGAGCCTTATAAAGCCTAAAGTAGCCTCATAACAGGTTTCTCACCCCGGCACCATTTTTCTAAATCTTTCCTGTACTTTCTCCACTACATACAAATCCTTGCAACATATGGCATCTAGAACTATACACAATACTCCAGTTAAGACTGAACACTTGTTTTGTACAAGTTCATCATAGTCTTCTGCATGTTTCTGTTTTCCATGTTTCTACTAATAAAGTCCAGGATACTGTATGCTTTATTAGCTGTTCCGTCTACTTGTCCTTTTGACTTCAATGATCTACACACATACATTTGCAAGTCCCTCTGCTCCTTTATGCCTTATTCTGTATTGTCTGCCAACATTTTTCATACCAAAATGCATCACCTAAAATCATCTTGTTGAATTTCACCCACCACTCCATCAACCTATGTCTATGCTGTTTTCAAAGTCTACACTGTCCTTCCCACAGAGTTATAATTATTCCAAGTTTCAAATCTGCAAACTGCCCCTGCACACCAAAACCTGGATGATTTATACATCAGGAAAAGAAAGGATTCCAATTCAGATGTCTGTGGTACTCTACTACAAGACTGCCCTCAATCTGAAGAGTATTCATCGATGGCTCATTTCCTATTTCTCAGCCACTTTTATACCCACATTGTCCTGTCCTTTTTATTCCATGCGCTTGTCTCAAGTCTAAGGCGTGGCACTGTATCAAACCCCTTCTGGAAGTCATGTATACGATATCAACAGCATTACCCTCAAACCTTCCTGTTACCTCTTCAAAAAGCTCCAACAAGTTAGGTAACCCACTATTTTCCCTTTAGGAAAAGCCAGCATAGATTTCTAATCAACCCATCTTTTTACATGTGATTATCATCACAAAAAAGTGTTCCTAGAAGCTTCTTCATCAGTGATATTAACCTGATGGATCTGTAATTGCTGAACTGTTTTTGAATGAGAGCGTAAGTCTACAATTCTCTAGCCTCCTTGGCAAAGACAATTAGTTCTTCATTTTACACCTCAGTCATGCCTCTTGCTTTCCATTTACAAATCGTCATTTTGGTTTCTAATCAGCCCTAATCCTCCTAAAAACACTCTTACTATTGATGTGCTCTTACAACTTTGGCACACTGTTTTACGTTGGCCATCAGTCCCTTCACATAGCCTCCCTTTGCATCTCTAATTTGCTTTTCCACCTCCCCTCTAAAAACTTTCTGCATTCCTCTTGGCACTCCATTGCATTTTCTCTCAAACCTGTCATAAGCACACCTTTTCTATATTTGAATTCCAATATCCCTTTAAAACTAGGGAGGTCTGGATTGGTTTGTCCTTTCACTTTTGAGAACTTGACCCAAACCATCTCTCCTCTTTGAAAGTAGTCCATTGTTCAGCCACAGCTTTTCCCACCAATCTTTTGTTCTCGTCTATCTGGCCCAGCTCCGCTCTTGCCCCAAAGTAGATTGCCCTTTATTAATTATTCTTAGTCTGGATTGCTTATTTTCCTTCTTTGTTATCAGCCTAAACCTTAGGACACAATGATCACTGCCTCCAAAATATCCTCCTACTGAAACCTGGAAATGGACTGGACCAAGTAGATCAAGAACACTTTCTTGTTGAACAGGACACATACAGCTGCAGAAATGTTTCATGAACAGAATCATAAACATTTATCCCTCTCCATCCTTTGCTTTTAAAATACTATCCCACTCTACATTCTGCAATCTTTTCTGAGCACCTTGCACCAAGGAATATTTAACATAGAAAAACAAAGTAGGAAGAGTAGGCCATTCAAGATTTACAACCTGAGGGTTTCTCAGTTCACTGAATGCAAACTGTCAAAATGCTTGGCATCCTTGGGCAACGCAAGGGGCTGAATTGCAGTTAACGAGCCCAATGTATTCTACATTCACTTTGAATAGAAGGTCAGTGAAAAGAGAGTGATCCCACGGAAAGAGACTGGCCTGGATGGAATCCCTGGCCATTAAGTCAGATCCTGAGCAGACCAGCTGACAGGAGTATTCACAGATATCTTTAACCTCTCCTTGCTACAATCTGAAGTCCGCATCTGCTTCAAGAAGACCACTATCATCCCGGTACCAGGGAGGCAACATATCATTCTAGAGCCTCGTTTGTGGCCACAGAAATTCCTGTTTATTCCCTTTATGACTATATCTATCGCATTCTCATTTTTTACTTCTCCCCTGTGCAGCAGAAAGAACCGTGGTGCACAAATTTGGCTACTGTTGCTTTCCCCGAGACGCAATATCCTTCAACATGAAACTTACAAAACAAAAATTCATCTTGTCGGTCTTACATGGGCAATCTCCTTTTTTGTAAGAAAAGCAATGACCATTAGCTCTAGATTAATCCACAAGAACCAAACTTCACACAGCACCATTTCCTGTGGCACACCACTCATTACATCTTGCCAACCAGAAAGACAGCCATTCATGCTTTCTGGTTCCTGATAACTAGCTAATCTTCTACCAATTACAATATGTCGTCCCTACATCATGGGCCTTTATCTTCCCCAGTAAGCACCGATTTGACAGCTTACCAAACTTCTTCAGCAAATTGAAGTACAGCACATCTACTGGTCATCCTTTATTGACAGTGTGTGTTACTTGAAACACCAATATATCTGAAAATTTACTGACTGATTTTAAAAAAAGTCTACACCAGAAATTCAATGCTTATAAACCATGAAACTAAGACTATGAATTAAAAGGGCCAAATCTGTATGGCTTTTCAGCATAACATATTTCTGCACTAAAGAAAATCACCTGTGTTCTAAATTATTTTTAGAGCAGTTGAACACTGGAATTTTTAAAATGGAACCCAGTATTAATTATAACATATTACACAAGTAATTTCAAGAAAATTAATGCACTTTTTGGTTTGTTTAACTTATTCAGGTTTGTACTGAAAGGGCAAATGGAGGATGCACATTCTGCCAATATCTAATTTAATAGGAATGTCAGTGCATATCTGCTTATTACCTGGTAGGGTATTTCCAAGTGTTATTCACACAGCACCAATAATTTTATCCCCTAAACAAATGCCCACAATCTCAAATATTTACCTAGTACAATACATGTCTCCATTTCGTAGCTGCTGAGTAAGGAATGCCACACACAAAATCCAAGCTAATTCCACCTGCCCTTCTGAATCCAATCTACAAATAACATCAAGAGCTTCCTGGCAGTCAATTCTGGCAATCTGATGTATGGGAAAAGAAGAGGAAGAAAGTCAAAGAACATTTTTAATCGATCAATACTTCATGACATCATTAAGATTCAAGAGAAATATATCATCGTCAGTGACAGGTTTGTCTTTCCATCGAATACGAAAAACAGTCTGTGCTCCTGTTCCACTTCTTTTCAGGATCACTTTTGCTGATGCCAGTTTACAACTTCCTGAATTAATTAAATTTATATTCATTGTGGAATATGAGCTAGGGTTCTCTGGATTACTAGTCCAACAACAATCATGTTACTACCACCTCCACACAGTATATAAAAGATAAATTGATCACAGTTAGAAAAGTAGGCATATCCACACATGGTATGCTATTTTAGAATGCCTTGGTCATCAGACTGAGACTGAGCCGAGGAGGAATTTCTTCTCAGAGGATGCATTGTCTTTGGAACTCCTTGTCACAAACAGCTGTGGGGGGCAGATTCCTGGTGTATATTTAAGACGGAGATAAATAAGTTCTTTATTAGTAGGGGAATCAACGGTAATGGGGAAAGGACAGAAAGTGGAAGTTATAAGTGTCAGATCAGCCACGATCTTATTGAAAAGCAGAGCAGATTTGAGCGTCCAAATGACCTACTCCTGTTCCTATTTCTTATGGTCTTATACAACATTTGGAACCATACATATTAATGTGCTCATCATACTTAAAAGGGAACGCATACATTGGCATTGGTGTTAAAAACACTAAAATGCCCATTAAAAAAAGCACTGTCCACGCCCAACAAGAAAACATTAAATTTTATGCACTTAGGTCCAAAAGAGATTGCTTAGTGGAGAAGAGGCATAGATGAAGTGAAATTTAAAAGATACATTGGACCATAGAGTCAATAACGGGGAAAATACTAATGGAGATTAAGTTTTAAACAAAGGCAAATAAACTTTTACTGAATAGGTAATAAATGCTGTATAAAGTTTACAAAGTAAGACAGGAGGGCAAAGAGATTGCATGCATTCAAAATATAGATGAATGCTAACCCAAATTTTGCAGACAAACATTGGTAATATGAAAAATTATTGTATATTACAAATGCAGCAAATGTGTTATCTGAACTAATAAAAGAATTCAGGAAATATTCAACAGTTTAGGCAGCATCTACAGAAACAGAAGCAGAGTTGTTGTTTCAAGCCAAGCACTGGGGAAAAGTTAGAGGTGATGCAATAAATATTAACAACTGAAAGGGAAATGTGGGAGAAGCACAAGGGAATATTTTCAATGGGGCTGTAAGGAGGAGAGATTAAAATGAAATAGTAACAGGTCGCAGGAAGAGGTAATGTGTCAAATGAAACAGAAATGTTGTGCCTAAAAGCAATCAGAATGATAGAACTGAGAAAAATAAAATTTAAACCAAAACAGCAAAAAGGGGATCATAAGTTACAATCTGAAATGCTTAATAAGATGTGGTAGTAGTAGCAAACCACTCAACCCATCGAATCTGCTCCACCATTCAATGAGACAATGGATGATCTGATAATCCTTTGCAAAGCTGTAAAATGCCCAGCTGAAAGATGCAGTGTTATTTCTTGAACTTCATTAGGACACTGAAAGTAGGTCAGAAAGATCATAGTGGGAACCAAATAGAGAATTAAAATGGCAGACAACTGAATATTTGGGCTCGTACTTTTGAAGTGAACAGAGGCTTTTCAGAGAATGGCTGCCCAATTTACATTAATTCTTACCAATGTAGGAAGGTCTGTACTGTGAGTAGTGAAGACAATGCAATAAATTTAAAGTTATGCAAGTAAGTCATTGGTTCATCTGAAAGGAGTGCTTGAGGGCATGGACAGTGAGAAGGGAAACAATCAGGAAAGGTATTGCATTTTCCACTCTGTGTGGAGAGGAGAGGGTTCGTGGGTTGTCTTGAGAACTGTCCATTTGCAATGCTGAATGAGCAGGAGGAGAAAGATGTTGGTGACAGAAACAGCATAAAACAGCCATTGAATAGAGGCTCATTGGGTAAAAACTGAGGACACAGGGTACCTTAATGTGGTTCTGGTTGGGAGGGAAAGATGGGAGATCAGGAATGCATTAAGTAGATGCAACAGGAACAGAGAAACTAGAAGAGAACTGAAATTTTCCAGAAAGAAGGGTGAGAAAGTCTAGTCAAGGCAGTTGTGGGAGCACATAGGTTTATAGTAAATATTTCCAGGGATACCAACTAGTAGAGAAAAGGGAAGAGTCAGATGTAGGCCATAAAGAGATTACAGAAAGGTGAGATAAGGGAACAAAATGGTTTAAATTTTGCAATTCAGGGGAATGAGAAACTACAATACACCATTAGTATGTCAGGGGAAAAATGACAGAGGGGGCTGTAGGACTGTAACAATAAACATTCCATATATTCCATAAAATGCCATGCACAGTCAAGACCATGTGAGTACCCATAACAAGAGTTTTCATTCTAAGGAAGTCGGTGGAGTTAAAAGTGAATTGTTTAACATGAGAACAAGTTCAGACAAACTGAGAAGGTTGGTGGTCATTGAGGATTCATCTGACCATGATTTGAGAAAGAAGCAGAAAGCACTCAAATGCTCTTGTGGGATGCAGATACGGAGATTGTAAATGTCCGTGCTGAAGAGGAAACTTTAATTGATAGATGGCATTGTAAAAATAAATTTATTTTCAAATTACTTATTGCTATATAAAAATGTACATTAGAGTACTTTAAAAATAAATTATTTTACCTACTTGCTCATTGCTACGTAAGATGTGCAGATTAGGTGGACTGGCCGTGCTAGATTGCAGTATCCAGGGATGTGTAGGTATTACATGGATAGGATAGGGGGCTGAGTTAGTGTGGGTCAGTGCAGATTCAATGGGCCAAGTGGCTTCTTTCCACACTGTAGGGATTCTATAATTCTAAGTCTACTGGAGTACTTCAAAATCTGACAGTTTTAATTTTTTTTTAACCAAATGAAGCACATCATGCAACCTTACCTCCTGCAACAGGACTTCTTCTGGTGATGAGCGGCATAGCCACGTTAAAAATAAGTGGAGAAAGTACTTGTTTGTGCCGGTTTGAGGATGGTTTACACAGTATTTGGTCAACGTGATTGCTTCTCCAACATGCTTATACTTCATCAAGTATTTCACTCTATATTCAAAGAACACTGGAGATTCTGATCCCAAGTATTCATTTACTGTTTAAAAACAGGAAATTGACAGGAAGACACCATGAAATAAGGTTTGCCACTGAAGTACATTTTTATAATCTTAGATTAATCCATTTCTGTAAATAGCAAAATTAGGTACGATCATACAATGAGTCTAAAACTATTAAGCAGTCTAATTACCAGACATTAGAACTGCTGATACAGGAAAACAGATGATTCTACTTGCAAATTTATCAGTTTTATTTTCATTGTAAATCGAGATGGTCAACCTTTCTTGAAAAAAGAAACAGTCCTTCAGATTATACACTGGATTTGTTTTCTTCTGTATCTTTTAAAAATAAGGTCACATAATGAAGTCTAGTACATTTTTTTTTAAGCAATCCCACCTCCACGTACTTTATCCTCATCTGTCAAAATTAGATGAAGCACAACTTAGGAAGTTAATTACTACTCTATACAGAATGAAACTGAAGAGCAGAAGAGTAGGAACGCTTAGCTGCGGTCATCTTTGCCTCTTTAGTAAAACCATACACTTACAAGCAGGCTTGTAACTTCAATTTTTGTTTCAGTTCACTTAATAATTGGTGCTTATGTCTCTAATCATTCTTTCTGTAATACCATGCATTCAGCATTAACCATACTGAAGAAATATTGATTCCAAAATTTACTGCTCTGTTTAGTTTACATTGTACTGTTAGGAAGTGTTTAACTACTAGCATAAACGTGCAAGTGAACAAGCTGAACATTTTAAAAAGAATATTTGAGTAGAACAGCAAAAAAACCTCTAATTGTACATACACAAACTATAATACCAAGAGACATTGCTTAATTAAATTTAAGCTGTGCAATTTAGGTACCAGCATATCAAATTGATATTAATTGATGCAAATAAGCATCTGAATCAATATATGATTTGCATGGACTATGCCCAAGTACTAAACAGGTTTGTAATTAAAACAATGTGGTTGACTAGGTAATTCCCTTCGTTGCTTTAATCACAACTGCTTAGACGATCAAGGGAATTCCAATCCCCTTGCGCTGGTTGTTTTTCAAATTTTCAGCTAGCACGTTGGTGATGTCAAGGTGAAACATCACAGGTAAACAAATTCCTGGCAGAGCTTTGTATTTTATTAATTTTTAAAACACGACTTTGAATAAATTTAATGATCCATTTACAGTCCAATAAGTATAAACTTAACTTAAAAAAATCTCAGGTTTCAATTCTATTATGCAAACTAGTTGAGCGGAGCTAGGGCTGTGGTAATATTGCCACAATCTACTCCATGCCTTGAGACTGCTAGGATGAAGGGCAGAAAATAATCAGCTAGAATTTTTGCTTCAATTCAAGGGCTCCTGCTAGCAAATGCAAGTGTGTGGAGATCAAACGAAAGCAGAATTTCCCTTATTGTAATTACCTATATTGCTCATAGGCCCACTAAATCTCCACATCTAGTTTCACACATGAAGATTGATGGAAGGTACTGGAAAGAATATACAGATCCAGACTGTATTTCAGAATAAAAGAAAAATTGATGGAATTTTAAGACTTTACCACTATTCCATGCACACAAATACTTATTCAGTCACCACTCCAGTTCTCAGTATGTTCTTAAAAAATAAACCAATTATTCTCAACCAGTTTGTGTAAAAAGAGGATTATTTATTCATTTGCCCCACCTTGCATTTTGAACTGATTAAGACTGGATGGAAAACAAACAAACAAATCTGCTCACCTAACTATAACTGGCCTTTTGAGAACTCCAATCCTTGAATAACCACATTCATTTTGCTACATATCTGAAGAGTCACACAACATGCCATCCATCCATTAATTTGCTCTTGATGTTTGAATTCTAATTCTGCTTTAATGAAATATTTTGGGTTTTCCAATGTGTATTGTTATGACTCGTGTGGGGAGTAATTGGGCATGATTACCAAGGGATGTCCAGCCAATAGACTAAACAGTTACTTATTCAGTTTCAGAGGCCACCATATTCTAAGCATCAGCTTATTACAGCCTACCATGCCTGATATTAATGCATAATGATCAATCTTCCCCAGATTCTGAACGGAGTTGCCTACCAAAACAGTGATTCAAGGTTTCTCTGATTGGATTTCCTGCTAAGTTTCTGTACTTATATCCTTCCTTGCACAGGTAGAACTTCAATTTCCTGAATTTTTTTTCCTCAGGGCTTCAAGCAGTTCACACAACAAAATAACAGCAAATGACAATAGATTTGACAAATTTTCCTTTCCATTGTATATTTCGGTAACCCACATTGGACACATTACAATCCCACTCAAATTTGTTTTAGATTGTTTTGCACTATTGAAAATTCAACTGTTACTCTATAAGAATAAATGCAAAATTACATTGTGCTGCCTTTCTATTACGACCTCTCGTTGTTAGTTTTGAGACTCTCCAATTTAATGCAGTGACCATTGATAATGACAGGCAGCAACAATAACAATCAATAGATTTTTGATTTGAAGAGTAACATTTAACATTATTCCAACATTTATCAACTTTGAGCAATCAAATTACCACAAACTAATAAAACAAAATCCAAAGCTGTATCCCAGGATATTAAAGGAAGCAGTTACAGAGATACTGGATCCACCAACAGTCATGTTCCAGGAATCCTTAGATTCTGGAAAATTCCTTGAGGATTGGAAAAATGCCTATGTAGGATCTTTATTTTAAAAAGGGAAGGAGACAAAAATCTAGTAACTAAATCAGTCATCAGGAAACAGTTAAGAGACTGCAATAAAAGATATAATAGTGGACCACTTAGAAATAGAGCAGGTATGCCTTAAAAATCATGCCTGACAAATTTACCAGATTTCTCTGCAATAACAAACAGGACAGAAGAGGAAGCATTATATGTGTTAGTTTGGATTTTCAGAAAGTATTTGATAAGTTAACAGACATGAGGCAACTTGATAACAGCCCATGGTGTTGGAGGTGGTATATCAGTATGGGCAGAGGATTGGCTAACTAATAGAAGACAGAGTAGGGATAAGGGGGATTTTTTCAGGATGGCAACTTGTAACTCATGGAGTGGCACAAGGATCAGTGTTGGGGCCACAATTATTTACAATGTATATTTACGACTTGGATAAGGGAAGTGAACGTACCTTAGCTTAGTTTGTGGATGACAAAAATAGGTGGAAAGGCAAGTGGTGAGGATGTCACATTGTCTGCAGTGGGATGTAGACAGGTTAAATGAGTGGGCAAAAACTTAGCAGATGGAATATAACGTGGGGAATGAGAGGTTATGCACTTTGGCAGGAAGAATAGAAGAGCTTACTGTTATTTAATTGGAGAAAGACTACAGAAAGCTATAGAACAGAGGGATTGGAGAATCAGAAAAAGCTAGCATCCAAGTTCAGTGGGTAATAGGGAAGGTAAATGGAATGTGGGCCTTTATTTCAAAGGGAGTGAAGTATAAAATTAGGGAGGGTTTGCTAAAATTACACAAGATACTAGTCAGACCAGAGCTGGAATACTGAACAGGTTTGAGCCCGAAAGGCAGTCCAAAGAAGGTTCACTGGACTGATACCAGGGATGGAGGGACTATTGTATAAGGTGAGCCTGAGTAGATTGGGCCTGTACTTATTGGAATATTGAAGAATCAGAGGTGATCCTAATGAAAGATACAAGGTTCTTGGAGGACTTGACAAGGTTGATGCAGAAAGACTGTTTGCCATTGTGGGAGACTCTAGGATCAATGAGTATAAAGTCAGATTAAGGGGTTGTACATTTAAGACAGAGATGAGGAGAAATTTCTTCTCCGAGGGTTGTGAATCTTAAATTTCTTTACTGCAAAGACTGGAGACTGGGTCGTTGAGTATTTTCAAGACCGAGATAGACAGATTTTTAATCAGTGAGAAATCAATAGTTATGGGGAAAAGACAGGAAAGTGGGTTGAGAATTATCAGATCAACTATGATCTCATTGAATGCCGTAGCAGACTCGATGAGCTGAATGGCCTTTATGGACTTACAATATGGATGAAATAGTTAAAGGAATTTGAACAAAGGACAACCATTGCAACATTTTTCAAAACAATTTAAATTTGATCTACCGGTTTTAAAAAGTAAAACAAGATTAGCTCTGATAGTGAGAGATGTCACCCACTGATGTCACCAGTGTCCTGATCAGTTAGTATGTTAACTTGTTTTAACAGCCAAACCATTTCAAGGAAAACCCTAAAGCTTTCTATAGTTATGTCAGGAATAAAAGAATGACTAGAGTAAGATTAGGGTCAGTCAAGGACCGTAGTGGGAAGTTGTGCACGGAGTCCGAAGAGATAGGAGAGGCGCTAAATGAATATTTTTCGTCAGTATTCACAGGAAAAAGATAATGTTGTCGAAGAGAATACTGAGATACAGGCTATTAGACTAGACGGGATTGAGGTTCATAAGGAGGTGTTAGCAATTCTGGAAAGCGTGAAAATAGATAAGTCCCCTGGGCCGGATGGGATTTATCCTAGGATTCTCTGAGAAGCTAGGGAGGAGATTGCAGAGCCTTTGGCTTTGATCTTTATGTCGTCATTGTCTACAGGAATAGTGCCAGAAGACTGGAGGATAGCAAATGTTGTCCCCTTGTTCAAAAAAGGGGAGTAGAGACAACCCTGGTAATTATAGACCAGTGAGCCTTACTTCGGTTGTGGGTAAAGTATTGGAAAGGATTATAAGAGATAGGCTTTATAATCATCTAGGAAGGAATAATTTGATTAGGGATAGTCAACACGGTTTTGTGAAGGGTAGGTCGTGCCTCACAAACCTTAGAGTTCTTTGAGAAGGTGACCAAACAGGTGGATGAGGGTAAAGCGGTTGATGTGGTGTATATGGATTTCAGTAAAGCGTTTGATAAAGGTTCTCCACGGTAGGCTATTGCAGAAAATACGGAGGCATCGGATTGAGGGTGATTTAGCGGTTTGGATCGGAAATTGGCTAACTGTAAGACAGAGGGTGGTGGTTGATGGGAAATGTTCATCCTGGAGTTCAGTTACTAGTGGTGTACCACAAGGATCTGTTTTGGGGCCACTGCTGTTTGTCATTTTTATAAATGACCTGGATGAGGGCGAAGAAGGATGGGTTAGTAAATTTGCAGATGACACCGAAGTCAGTGGAATTGTGGATAGTGCAGAAGGATGTTGCAGGTTACAGAGGGACATAGATAAGCTGCAGAGCTGGGCTGAGAGGTGGCAAATGGAGTTTAATGTGGAAAAGTGTGAGGTGATTCACTTTGGAAGGAGTAACAGGAATACAGAGTACTAGGCTAATGGTAAGATTCTTGGTAGTGTGGATGAGCAGAGAGATCTGTGTCCATGTGCATAGATCCCTGAAAGTTGCCACCCAGGTTGATAGGGTTGTTAAGGAGGCGTACGGTGTGTTAGGTTTTATTGGTAGAGGGATTGAGTTTCAGAGCCATGAGGTCATGTTGCAGCTGTACAAAACTCTGGTGCGTCTGCACTTGGAGTACTGCGTACAGTTCTGGTCGCCGCATTATAGGAAGGATGTGGAAGCACTGGAAAGGGTGCAGAGGAGATTTACCAGGATGTTGCCTGGTATGGAGGGAAGGTCTTATGAGGAAAGGCTGAGGGTCTTGAGGCTGTTTTCGTTAGAGAGAAGAAGGTTAAGAGGTGACTTGATAGAGACATACAAGATGATCAGAGGATTAGATAGGGTGGACAGTGAGAGCCTTTTTCCTCGGATGGTGATGGCTAGCATGAGGGGACATAGCTTTAAATTGAGGGGTGATAGATATAGGACAGATGTCAGAGGTAGGTTCTTTACTCAGAGTAGTAAGGGTGTGGAACGCCCTGCCTTCAACAGTAGTAGACTCGCCAACTTTAAGGGCATTTAAATGGTCATTGGATAAACATATGGATGATAATGGAATAGTGTAGGTTAGATGGGCTTCAGATTGGTTTCACAGGTCGGCGCAACATCGAGGGCCGAAGGGCCTGTACTGCACAGTAATGTTCTATGTTCTATCAGTATTTTTCTTTTAAAATGGCATGAAGGCACACTAAGTTAAACAGAATAAAAACATGGACATACGAATTAGGAGCAGGAATAATGTTTACAGACTGATTTCCATATGTTGAATTAAGCAGCAAAAATGACTGAAATTTACAAAGACGATTCTGTAAATCTGTAGTTCAGTGCCAACATTAGTTTCCTCCTTTCCATTCAGAACCCTGAATCCTCTCTAAGGAAACCCAGGCAGAAATGCATCTGTGACAAACAGGCAGGCAATTGAAAATTATGGTCCCCAAGTTGGCTGCCTGGACCTGCTAATTTGGCCAGACCCAGAAACAAACCCCCAAGAAGGTCCTCTGACTTATTCACCACTCCGCACCAGGTACCCAAAGAACAATCAAAGGTTTTTCAAGGAAACTTAACAGGGGTGCAACCACCCACAACATATACATGGTTCACAATCTCCACAACATATAGAATAAATAGTTGAGCTAGGAAACCATGAACTACCTTAACTTATAACTATACACCGTTGCTGCGATCAACACCCTCCATCCAATGTCCCTGATGGAAAGCTGGAGGACTCTCACGTAGACATTCCTCCAATCGGGACCCGCACCACCCAATAGGATAGAATAGGGGTATCCAGGCAGTGAATAAAGGAAGATAAGTGGATGGTGTGCAGAAGCCCATACAAGGAAACTCCTCCATGCCACAGAAATGACCCAACCTTCTGGTTCAGAGTAGTGATATTACCACTACACCACAAGCGCCCTAGTTTTTGAAGAATTATTTTTAACCAATCTCTATGGACAAGTTATTACACGTCACTGGGTTAAATGGGACTTGAACTTGGAACTTACTGCCCCAGAGGAAGGAACACCATCACTATGATGCAAGAGCCCCAAGAACCCAGCTCTTAGCTTTTAAATCAACTTGTTCAGGAACGTAATGACATCTCTGGAGCAGGTGGCATTTGAATTATTAAGTCCAAAGAGCATCAATTGTTCTCCATCAACCCCAGACTTGTCCTGGTTTACCTTTGAAAGGGACCTGCATTTTTAGCTCTGATACTCAGCTCCTGCGCTCTATCAACCAACAAGATCATGTCTGACCTGATCGCCCCAAACAGCCTACCCTCAATAACCTTTCAAGAATCTATCTCTGCCTTCAAATGATTCAAAGACTCTTTTTTGCCTCAAAAGGCGGTGCAAACAAAGTCCAAAGATTCATGACCCTCAGGAAAACAAAAATCTATCTTAAACGGCTGGTTCCCTATTTTTAAAAATGACTCTCGGGTTCTGGATCACCCCACAAAAAAATCTTAAGATGCAAATGGTCATGAGTTCAACAGGAAATATTTCAAGCTTTCAAAGTAAGTGCTAGAAATACTCAGAAGATCAGGAAACATTGAATTTCTCTCTCCAAAAACAGTGCCAGAACCTCAGTATTTCAAGCACTTTTATTTTGTTTCTGACTTCCAGTATTTGCAGTACTTTACTTTTAATAAATCAGGAAAATTCAGCTCTGGCCAAATGGAGTTACGGGTTGAGCAATAAGAGACTTTTACTGGCTCAGATTAACCTACTGGCAGAGCAGCATTTGCACTGTATCATTCTTTGCTGGTACATCATGGTACAACTTGCTCACTTTATCATCTCCTGGAACTTGTACCTTTAAATAATTATGCATGTAGTCAAGTTATTACTCTGGACTAAGGTTCAAAAGGGGATTAGTTAACTCAGTTGAATGAGTGGTTGGTTTGCAATGCCAACAGAGCAAATTCAAATCCTGCGCCATTTAAGATTACCTCGAAAGAATTTCCATTTCAGCTTCTCCCCTTGCTTGAGGCATGGTAACACCCTCAGGTTAAACTAATATCAGTTGTCTCTCTCAATGGTCTGCTGAGACAATGGCACCTTTACCCAAGCTTCCAGAAAGTTTTCACTCGAAGTTTAAAATTCAACCCCAAAACTAGCAGAGCAGAACAGAAGAGGGGCAGCTGCTAAAGCATTAACAGTGTGCATTAACGAGTGCATCCAAGTTCTTTAAAATTACAGGAACAGCAGACAGGGAAAATGCTATATGAAATAATACTACTGTAGCTCAACATTCTGCCAAAGTCCGTCCTTGAATAAGGTCAAACCTAAAATTCAAGTTTTAGCAATGCCATGAGCACTTGTTTAAACATTTCAAATGAGATTTCAGGGAAATAAAAATGTTATTAATCTGCTCCATACGTACCTAATTCCTGAGTTACTAACTCTTGGTTAAGGATGGACACCAGTACTGGATTTTGCCATGGGCCTCCATTTCTACTCAACCTGATTAGTACATCAAATTCTGCATTTAAGTCATTTTGCAAAACGTTGTGACATTCCTGTAGAGAAAATGTAAATTAGAAATTTGAAAACAGGGTCATAAATACAATGTTTTAAAATAAGAGATATGACAAGAACAAGCGACAAAGCAAGCATACTGTAACATAACTTTTTTTTAAAATCAATTATACTTACTATGTTGAAACTAATTTATGTAATTAACAAAGTTTCCAGGACATTAATAAAAACAGAAAATATTACCTGAATGGTTTTTAAAAATTCTTCCCAGAACCCTTTAGATGAATCATCTTCAATGCAATATAGCAATACTTCAAAGCAGCTCCTATAAACAATGCAGTAAAGTTGAAAGCAGAATCAGTACAAATATTCCAGATCTTTGGAGACAACACAACTATTGCAGTTCTTGGTCTCTAAACAAATGCTTCAAAACCTTAAGTATGAAAATTACCAGCTAAGCCACACAAAAATCAACAAAAGTTTGATAACAGTTGATGCTGGGAATACTCAGGAGGTCAGACAGTATCTATGAAGAAGGAAATAGAGTTAAATGCTTCATGTAAAAGACTTTTGTCAGCTGCTGAATTACATGTACCTTTTGTAAATTTCTAGCAGTACATAATGACAGTTTTCTATGGCATACTACTGCAACCATTGGCTCATGTTGAAAGGTATGTACTGATCCAACATTTACATTCTCATCAGTTAAATTTGTTTAGCTTAAAAAAGGAAAGCTTACATAAATATATCCCAATTCTTTTCAGGATGCTACCACTCTTCAGTTATGTGCTGATGATTAAATAAAAGACATTTTAAAAGCCACAAATGGATCATGACTGGCAAGGTACTGAAAATATCACTAGTTTTGGTTCAAAAGGGAAAACAGGTCATTGAAAATTGATATGATTCAAGAGTCATCCTAAATGCTTGGGAATGTTGGCATTGCCAGAGACATTTGCATCCCATAAAAATTTAAATTAACAAACACAGTATCACATCTCTGATAGTTTTAAATGTCTTATTTTAGGCAACTGCAGCAGCTCTTTCCTGCAAAGCAAGTTTCCACAAACAGTAATTTAATGAATGATCAGTGAAGCTGTTTTTGGTTGATGGAAAAATGGAAGGCCAATTTTCTGAGCAGTCCCAATTCATCACTGGTTAATGCAGTGACCTTTAACATTAAATAGAAACAACAGACCGGACCCCACTATCACACCAAACTATTAGCCTGAAGTGTGTTTCATTCTGGAGGGGATCTGGAGCTCTCAATCGTTTAACCAAAAGTAAGTATACTGTCACCTCAGCCAAGTTAATTATTAAGTAATGAAATATGTACTGCATAATAAGCGAAGGTTTGATTACACCTTCACCCCTTTCTGAGTGTTGAGACCTCCACAGATCTGACAAAATGTCTTTGACGACTCAAGAAAAGTACTGTGGATACTGGAGATCTGAAATATAAAGTGCTGGAGACTCTCAGTAAGTCTGACAGCATCTGTGAAGGGAGAAAGAGAGAGAATTAAAATTAACTTCAATATGACTGCTCAGAAAAGATTTTCCTATTTAGCATATGAAAAAAGGTTCAAGTGCTATAGTACTGCATTACACTGCAAATGGTTTTTAATATCATTGCAAAAGTCTGAACTTAATAGAGAATCCAGGTTTATCAAAACAAGGCAGGATTTCATATGATAGTAGGAACTGCAGATGCTGGAGAATCGGAGATAACAAGGTGTAGAGCTGGATGAACACAGCAGGCCGAGCAGGAAGGCTGACGTTTCGGTCTGAAGAAGGGTCTAGGCCCAAAACGTCAGCCTTCCTGCTCCTCTGATGCTGCTTGGCCTGCTGTGTTCATCCAGCTCTACGCCTTGTTATCTCAGGATTTCACATGGATTGCTACTCCAGAGTCGACACAGTCGAGCTAATAGTGCTGTGTAGCGATATGTGTAATGGTAATCAGAGGGTGACAGGAGAGGATAGAGTGTACAAACACAGAAGTACATCAAAAAAAAGGTCAGAGGTAAGGAAAGAGACAATATTCGAGGCCCTTAATCTTAATGCACGCAATCATAACAAGGTGGGTCAAATGACATTCCTTCTGCCATAATAATTACAATTCTGCGGAGATGGATAAATTGATAGCAGAATGCACAAAACAATTATGATAACCATTTCAGAGACAAGATTGCAAAATGACAACAGGCAGGCTCTGAATATTCAGGGTTGTTTGACATTTCAGCAGGATTGGGGCGGGGGGGGAGGGGGGGTAGGAAAAGAAGGTGGAATAGCTCTCCTAATAAAGGATGAGATTGATGCTCTCATGCTGCCTAATCTAGGCAAGCAAGACCATGACATATCAGAAATTCACAGTTTAAGGCCAAGAATGTTGATCTGAAGCAAGAAATTTAAAACTTAAAAAGTAACTAATGTAAGATCTTGAAGTAAAAGCTGGCTAATGTGGACTGGAAAAATGTTTAAAGATAAGATGGTAGAAAAGCAGTGGCAGACATTTACAGAGATATTTCAAATCTTTCAAAGATACATTCCGTTGAGAAAAAAAGATCTTATGAGAACGATTTATCGTCCGAGGGTAACTGCAAAACTTAAGAATGTTGTCAGAAGAGATGTACAATGCAGCCACAGACTGATGAAACTTCAGAAATCAAAGGATGACCAAGAAAAGAAAAGGCAGAAATTACATCAGCATGAGAGAAAACTGTCTGAAAAATTAGAAAATATTTAAATACGTAAGAAAGAAAGGAGCAGCTAAGACAAGTATTGGCTCCACAGAAATCAGTCTAAGTAGCACACCTCTGGGTTAAGTGTTCTGTATCTACCTTTACAGTACAACACAGAAAATACATCAAGTATAGGAGAAACAACAACGGTGGAGGAACGTCAAATAATCTCTGACACTAGAGAAAAAGTGTTAAGAAAATAAATGGAACTAAAAGCTAGCAAGCGTCCTGGACTCGTTGGCCTCCATCCCAGGAAGAAGGTGGAGCCAAATAGTGGATACATTAGCTGCCATCTTCCAATACTGCCTAGATTCTGGAAAAAGTCCATCAAACTGGAATTGTGCAAATGTAATATCTGAATTCAAGAGGGAGACAAAAAGCAAGAAAGTATACGGTAGATAGCAAGAACTGCAGATGCTGGAGTCAGAGACAACACAGTGTGAAGCTGGAGGAACACAGCAGGCCAGGCAGCAGAGAAGCAGGAAAGTTGACATTTTGGGTCAGGACCCCTCTACAGAAACGTCCCTGGGCACTGTAGTTAGTCTCACACCTGCTATTGGAGAAAATATCGAGAAATGAGGGGGTAGTAGTTGGATTGTTAGAAAATCAGGCAGTCAAAACATTTTTGTAATAGGTAAATTGTATTTGACAAAACTAAATTCCTTTGAGAATGTAGTAAGTAGGATGGATAATGTGGTACCAGGAGGTTTGTTTTTAAGACTTCCAAAAGGTATTCAATAAAATACCAGACAAAAGGTTACCATACAATAAAGAGCTTATGGGGTTAGAGGTGATAGCTTAGCATATATAAAGGATGGACTAACTAATGGGAAACTGAGTCATTACAAAGGGTCAGTTTTCAGATTGCTAGGAGTACCACAACAAGCAGCACAGAGGCTCAAATAATTAATCTACAATAACTTGGGCAAAAATTTGGCAGATGGAAAACAATGCAGGGAAATGCAAGGTTGTCCACTATCTCAGGAAGAACAAAAAAAATCAGGATACTGTTTAAATGGCAAGATAGTGCAGAATTCTGCAGTATAGAGGGATTCTTGCATCCTTACTTATGAATTACAAAATAGAAGGAAAGTTGGTACAGTATGCATTCAGCAAGGTCAACCGTATGTTGGATTCATATTGCAAGTTGGAACATAATCACAATTGTTACAGCACAGGAGTTGTTCATTTGCAGTATGATCTAGTGCCAGTCTCCTGCTTTTCAACCATATCCATGGGCACCATATTTATTCAAATAATTGTCCAATGCCCTCCTGAATGCCTCAATTGAACCTGCCTGCACTATATTTCCAGGCAGTCCATTCCAAACCTTAACTATTCAGTGTGAAATAGTTTCTCACATCACCCTTGCTTAATTTGCAAATCACATTAAGCCTATGCCCTTTCAGCCCTTTTTCTTTTACAAGAGGAAACAGCTTCTCCCAATCTACTCTATCCAGCCTGCTGACCATTTTGTAAATCTCTATCAAATTGTTCTCAGCTGCCTTCTCTCAAGAGGACAATAGTCACAGCTTCTTCAAGCTATCCTCGTAACTGAAGTTTCTCATACAAGATTTATAAGACGGTGTCAGGAATAAGTAGTTTTGCTGTACTCGGTACATGACAGACCGTATTTGTATGTAGCCTTCTCATGATCTTGTGATGTCCACAGGGTCTGGGAGACAAAGAATTCAACTGCGGGTAACATACGCATGAAAGAGAAAGGAAAAGGCAATAATGCAGGCCAGCAATATGGTTAATAATATCTGGGATGTTTATAGGGAGACAGAGCACACAAACATAAGAGGGAATCAATAAACACATCCATCATTTGTGAGAAGACTGATGAATACATAATACACACAGCCATAACAACAGGTATAACCTGATCATTAAGAGGAATTTTTTCCTTAATTCACTCATGGTACATGGGTGTCACTGTCTGGGCCAGCATTTATTATCCATCCTAGTTGCGCTTGACAAGGTGGTAGTGAAGAGCTGCCTTCTTGAACCACTGCAATCTATGTGCTACTTGGGAATTCCAAGATTTTGAACCAGCAGTGGAAGAACGAACGGTGATATATTTCCAAATTGGATGGTGAGTGGCTTTTTTTTTGGGGGGCGGGGGGGTGCGCTTGCAGGTGGTGATGTTCTCATGCTTCTGCTGCCCTTGTCCTTCTAGATGGAAGTAGTCATGGGTTTGGAAGATAACCCCCAGGAGGCGATATTGACAGTTCAGCAATAGTAATGCCATTGTAAGGTTATAATTCAGAGTTGGCTGAAATTGACTAGAAAATAGGTTAAAGGATAAGATGATAGGTAAGCCGCAACAGACATTTAAGGAGTGTTTCATAATTCTAAATACAGCTCCATTCTATTGGGGAAGAAAAACTCTGGGAAACATGATCATCCATGATAAATTGAGACAATTAAGAATGACATCAAATTGGAAAAGTATATAATGTGAAGATTAGCGATGCACCAGAATATTGGGAAAATATTATAAACCAGATAAAAATAACCAAAGGAACGAAATGGGAGAAAACAGATTGAGTAAAAACTAGTAAGAAATATTGAAAAAGACAGTAACAGCTTCTATAAGTATATAACAGTTAAGGTGGCCCCTTGGGTTGGGAAATTAATAACGGAGCCAAGAACAAGGCAGAGACTAAATAAATAATTTTACCCATCTTCAGGGTAAGAGAAACTGAAAAAAATCAAGGCGGGGGGGGGGGGGGAGGGGAGAACGAGCAAGGAACTTGAAACAGTTAATTCTTGCTCGAAGAATTTTAGGACTAAAAATTGACAATCCTGAACCTGATAGCTTGCATCTTAAAGTCTTAATAACAAGTTGCTACAGAGATAGTAGACATACTGAAGAATCTATACGGGGTGATTTCAATCAAAGGTAAACTGCAAACGTAATACTCCTTTTCTAGAGAGGAAGGACATAGATAGCAGGAAACTATGACCTGGTTGGCCTAACATCTGTCATCAGAAAAATGCTAGAATCCATTATCAAGGAATTAGTAGCAAAATGTTTAAAAACTTGCAATGCAATCAGAGTTGACACGGTTCAAGTAAATGGTTTGACAAGGTTATTACAATGCTCTAAGGATGTATCGAGCAGGAAGCAAAAAGGGAAACCAATAACGCAGTGTATTTAGATTCCCAAAAGGCATTTGATAGTGTGCCATAAAAAAATTTCCTGCGCAAGAAAAATGCTCTTAGAATCATGGGTAATATATTAACAGAGAGAGAGACTGGTAAACTAAAATCAAATCAAGACAAATGGGTCATTTTCAGACTGCAAACTGTAACAAATGAAGTGACAGAGGAATCAGTGCTAGGGTCTCAACTGCTTACAAGCTACATTAATACCTTGAAGGGAAAGTGCATTACCACATTTGCTGTCAATACTAGGATAGGTAGGAAACCAAGATATGGAGGTGATGCAAGCTAGCAAAAGGATGTGGAAAGGTTACAGATCATAGCCAGAAATCTGACAGATGGGATTAAGAAGGAAAAAAAATTGTGAAACTAACACTTCACTAGCAAGGAAAAAGAAAAATCTTATTCAAATGGAGAGACTTCAGAAAGCTACCGTACACATGGAGATAGGTGGCCTCAAACATGAAATCATGAAAGGTTTGGTTTACTTACCCATGTTTGATCTAATGCTATGAACTACACAGTACACAGAATAGTACACGTGCATTAGAAGACAGTTCAAAATATAAGCACATGTACGAAAATACAGAGTAAAGGCCCGCTTTGCTGAAGCTTTCCTTACAAGGCATTCTGCTTCATACCAGGAACCCGATGAGTGAACCTCCTCTCAAGTGCTTCCAAAGCCAAGTATATCCTTTTCAATTAATGATAGAGCAAACAGTACTCTAGGTGCAACATCTCCAATGCCTGGAAAGTGATTTGCAAGACTTCCTTACTTTTATACTTCTTCACCCTTGTAACAAAGGCCAATATTCTGTGTGCCTTACCAAATACTGGATGTATGTGACTGTGAAACAATTAACATCTTCCTACCTTTTTTTAAAAAAAAAGAGAGATAATAAAATGGATTTTTAAAAAATTACTTACAATGCCAGACGGCTCAAGACGTATTGGATGTGTTCACATTCTGGAGCAAGAAAGGGTCTAGCTTTGGTAAAACAGCAAATAGCACTTTTAAGCACATGAACTAGTGGCAAAGGTACCTGCCATCTCCCAGCATGCCATTCAGTTACCTGTTTGAGGAAGAGAAGACTGAAGGTTAAATATTGTTGCAAGACCCTAAACTATTAGTTTCAACACTTGCTATTTTACCAAATAAAAGTTCCCTGATGTTTCTGTATCAAAATCTAAACTTTAAATACAGTTGTCTTGTACATAAAATCTGAAGTTGACCCTTCATAAATGATACCATTCAGTTCTGCTTATAAGGAGCAACCAAGCTTTGGTGAATTACTCTAGAAGGCAGAGTAAAATCTACAAATTCAAGGGTTGTTACATGATAATATCATGAAGTACTTGGTGCTTCATCCCTGACAGCCCCTTGACCTGGCATCAGAATTAAACTGCCATCAGGACAGGAAAAAACGTGGCAGAGAGATCATTACATCAATCAAGATGTAGCGGCAGGATAGAAAGCGTTCAGACTCTGTGCCTGCATGCTACCGCTCACCTGGCCGGCCATATTTTTTGTTTTTCTTCATTTCTTAATCTGGTTTGTATCAAAGTTCACCTTTTTCTCTTTACTGTGACTGTGATGGTGAAAGGCAGTAGCGAGGATCTGCTACGGCAGCGGCAGTGTGGTGGATCCGAACGTCCGATCCTCGTGGCCATAGCGGCTACGGTTTTATTAAAGGCTTCATTGTCGGTGGGTCTGGTCCGTTCCTCCTGGCAACAGTTTCAGTGGTAGCTTTAGCGGTGGCGGATGGTGGTTCCCGTTCATTTCTCACGGCTATAGCCATGGCTTCAGGCAGCGACAGAAGTGGTGACAGTTTCAGTGTTAGTGACTTGGTGGGTCCAGTCTGTCCTTCGTTTCTTTCTATGGCAGTGATTTCAGTGTCAACTTCAGTAGCGTGGTGGGTCTGGACTAGAAATTTTCACAGGTGGCTGCAGCAGCAGCAGCAACAACACGATCCTGTGGCCAGTCCAGAAATCCAGATTGTCATGGAGGGAACAAAAGATGAACTTTGTCCCAACTTCGTCTCAATTATTTCTTTTTATAATTTCTGTAATTAAGATTGCAAATTGTGGCAACTTACACACATCTCACTGTATTTTCATAAATAGAAGTGATAATAAAATGCTATTCTATTCCTCGTTGGCAGATTTTTGCAAAGTCAGCAAAACGTTATTTAACCACTGTGTCGACCAGTGGTGCCATTACTCTGACGGTTTTCAGAAAATAGCACTTATTCTAGATGATACCTTGCTATTTAATGTGTTGTTTCTGTAGTTTGAATTGCAGCAAGAATATTAATTATTAAGGTGAGGCCACTTTAAATCCTTAAAATACATTATTTGAGGAAATCATATTTTGTTTATATGAGTTTGACTGCTAATGATTCTGACTTGTGAACTGTCAATTGAGCAAAAGTATACCAACCTAAAACAAAAGCTTAGGTGATCAAAAACAGTTAATTAGATGATTTTTTTTCCAACTCAGCCGCATGTAAACAAACTTCGGTTATTTAAATGAAAATAAGTCCCCCGAATTGTTGAAAACATGCTGACAATAATGTCCTTTGTAACATGTTGTCACATGATTGCAGAAAAGCAACAAACTTCCTCTAAAAAATACTAACTTTGGTTTATTTTATTTCTTACTTATTCTTAATTATCACATCAAATGATCGGGATGCAACCCACCCAAGTGCCGTACCTGCTCCACTTCAAACAATCACAATTTATCCCCATCCCAATGTTGAATAGCATAGACCTATTTATTAAACAAAAAATTGTAATCCTGAAGTGTGTTTGGTCCAATGACTGTATATACCCACAGTTTACATAATCTACCCATAACTCAAATGGGAATTCTACAGGATAACAATCAAGTTCAAAAAAAGTTGAACTGTGATTCTATCACCAAGTAAACAAGTGCCTTTAAAAGTACTTTACAGTAACAAAGAAAAGATCTATGTGGAAGAATATTTTTAAGCCAAATTTTAATCATCTTTATTTTGACTTAAGATAATCTTGTCACTGCATATCTTAAACTAGGAATAGGCATTTTAAAAAGCTGTAATATCAGCTGGTGGCATTGTATGATGCTATCTTCTCACTTCACCTTTGCAGTTCACTTTATTGCCTTGATTCTCAAAAAAAACTATGCAGCATCTTACATAATATGCATCTCTAAATGGATTTGACAGCATTGTAAAGTCAGAAATGAGGGAAATTGAAACAGTCTAGCCTATTAGATGCAGAGATGAACCAAAAACATCCAGCCCTGTCCAAGGCAAGCAATCTTCTGGTGAAGTAACATCCCAAAACCCCACAGAAATGTAGATGTGAAGGTAAGGTCTTAACAGACCATAGGGCTGCTCTCTCATTAGAGACAGATTACTGGCGTTGGTTTGACCTGAGGGGCACCATGCTTCAAGTGTGGAGAGAGGTTGAGGTGGACAGTTCTTCATGGTAACCTCAGCAAGGGCAAGAATTGAACCAATGCTGCTGACATCACGCTGCATCACAAACCAGCTATCCAGCCAACTGAGCAAATTTTTTGCAATAAAAGGCAAACATTCCATTTGCTTTCCTAATTACCCATTGAACTTGGATGCTAGCTTTGAGATTGATGGACAAGTACATTTACATTCCTCTGTCTGCAGTCTTCTACTGTCATTGGCTACTTAGGTAATAGTCAGATCCTCTATTCTTCCCGCCAAAGTGCACAATCTCACATTTTCCCACATTATACTCCTTCCGCCAAAGTTTTGCACACTCGCTTAACCCACATCTCTGCGCTGACTCGGCTGTCATCATCACCACTTGACTTCCCAATGATTTTTATGTCATCCAGAATCTTGGCTACCGTAAATTCACTTTCCTCAACCAAGTCATTATTATAAATTGCAAATAAATGTGGCCCCAATAATGGACCCTCTGGCACTCCACTGGTTATAGGTTGCCATCTTGAAAATACCCCCTTATCCAAACTCGTCTATGAGTTAGCCAATCCCCTACTCATGCTAATAGAAAACCTCCAATTCCATAGGCTTTAAACAAGTAGCCGGATGTGTTATCAAACCCCGTCTGAAAATCCAAATGCATTACATCTAGTGCTTTACCCTTATCTAGTGCCTTTCATGAAGCCATGCTGACTTTGCTTGATCATACGTAAATCTAAATGTTCTATTACACGCTTTATAATAGGGTCTAACATTTTCCAATAACAGATGTGAAGCTATCTGGCCTATAGTATCTTTTTGTCTCCTTCCAGTTTTAACCAAAGGTGTTATTGATGGCAGTATTCTAATTCTCAGGGACTTTTTTCCAGAATCTAAGTATTCTTGGAAGATTACAACCAGTGCATCCATTATCTCTGTAGCTATTTCCATTAATACCCAAGGAAGCAGTCCATCAGGTCCAATGGATTTCAGTCTTTTGCCCCATTAGTTTCCCTAACACTTTTTCAACTAGTGATATTTATTATACTTACTTCCTCCGCTCAGTTCTGAAGGAGTGTCACTGGACTTGAAACATTAATTCTGCTCTCTCTCCACAGATGTTGCCAGACCTGCTGAGGTTTTCCAGCAATTTCTGTTTCTATTTCTGAGTTCTAGCATCCACAGTTTTTATTTAAGTAGGTAACTGCTGACAGCTAGAAAATAAGAGTTAACGTGGCATTGCCAAAGGGAAACTGTGAATGAAGCTTCACAAATAGATGTGATAGATGCGACTCCAGACCTGACAATATGGTTGACTTTTAACTGCCCTCGAAATGGCGCTTAAGTCACTCAGTTCAAGGGGCACTTAAGCATGGTAATTTAGTAATAAATGCTGACTAAAACCAGCAACATCCACCTTCCATGAACAAATGAAAATAGTAAATTTGGATTTCCACTTCAGCAAGAACAGAAAAGTAGACTACTGTTCAAATTGACAGACACTTGTGAATGCTTCGATACAGCGGAATCTGAATGCCCTCGTACAAGAATCACGAAGTTTGCAAACAGGTACAGAGCAAATATTTTGTAAGGTAAATGCAATGTTAGTCTTTATTGCAAAAAGGCAAAATACAAATATTTTCTTATGTTGGCATTGACGAGACTGCACCCAGAGTACTCTGTACAGTTTTAGTCTTCTTACTTAGGAAGGAAGTACTTGTATCAAAAGCAGTTCAGACAAAGCTGACTCTGTTGATTCCTGCCATGAAAGGGTTAACATATAAAGAATTGTTTAACCTATCTTCATGAGAGTTTAGAAGAACGAGATACGATCATAATCAAATGTAAAAGATTTGGGGATTTCTGACAAGATTGGGGAGAGGACGTTTTCTGTCATGAGGGAGTCTAGAACCAGGAGACACGGAGTTCCAAAAGTGTCTCATTTGAGATGGAGATTAGAAGAGTCATTAGTTTTGGAATCGTCTTCCCCAGAGAGCAATGGAGGAATGTATCATTCAGAGGTAGTAAGAACTACTGATGCTGGAGTCAGAGATAAGAGTGTAGAGCTGGAGGAACACAGCAGGTCAGGCAGCATCAGAGGAGCAGGAAAGCTGACGTTTCGGGTCAGGACCCTTCTTCAGAAATGGGGGAGGGGGATGGCAGCTTTGAAATAAAGAGAGAGAGAAGGGGTGGGGATGGGAAAGATGGGTGGAATGGCGATAGGTGAGTGCAGATAGGCGGTGGTAGGGATTGGTCAGTGAGGTGGGAGGAGTGGATAGGTGGGAGAAGATGGACAGGTTGTCTCAGGTCAAGGAGGCAGGGATCAGAGGGAGGGTTGGTTACGGGATGAGGCCGGGGGTGGGGAGATTTTGAGACTAGTCTAGTCCACATTGAGACCATTGGGTTGTAGGCTCCCAAGGCGGAATATGAGGTGCTGCTTCTCCAGTTTCCGGGTGGCGTTATTGTGACACTGGAGGAAGCCCAGGATAGAAGGAGCAGTTAAAAATGGTTCGCAACTGGAAGGTGCTGTCATTTGTTGTGAACAGAGCGTGGGTGCTCTACAAGGCTGGCTCCAAGCCTCCACTTGGTCTCACCAATGTAGAGAAGGCCACATCGGGAGCAGCGGATGCAGTAGACCACAATTAGCAGATGTACAGGTGAACCTCTGTCTGATGTGAAAGGTTTTTTTGGTTCCTTGAATGGAGGTGGGGGGGGTGGGATGGATGTAGGGGCAGGTGTAGAACTTCCTGCGGTTGCAGAGAAAGTTGCCTGGGGTGGTGGGAGTGTGCAGCAGATGAGGGGGTCGTGGAGAGCACGGTCCCTACAGAAGGCAGATAGAGGTAGGGAGGAAAATATACCCTTGGTTGTGGGGTCAGATTGCAGGTGGTGGAGAATGATACGTTGAATCCAGAGGTTAGTGGGGTGATACATGAGGACCAGGGGGATTCGGTGTTGCAGGGAGGGTATGTGAGGGCAGAGGTGTGGGAAATGCAAGAGATGCAGTTGACAGCATTTTCATTTTGTTGCAGGGAGAGGAGTTGCGAGGTTGTACCATTGACTATATTCAAGGCTGACATGGACAGAATTTGACCTACAAGATAGTCAACGTTTATGGGAGGCAGCAGTAAAGTGGAGCTAGGGCCACAATCAGATCTGTCATGAGTTTGTTGAATGGCAGAGAAACCTTGTAGGTACAAATCCTGTGGCTGTTCCTTATAACTGTATTCTTATTGTTCAGTTATTTAGTTGACAATGTTTCCTCAAATATGATTAAACAGGTCTGTTCCTCAAACTCTGTAATTAATAGAATAGTATTTGCAATTCAAAAAACACTTCACTCAATCTAGAGTGCTTTGGAAAACAATAACCAAAGTTATCATTCCTTTCCCCATTTCTTTCATGATTGGTGTGAAAACAATCAGATTATAGAGGCTAATTTATCTTAGGTCCAATTATTTTGATGCCTTTCTTTAAATAAAAAAGAACTTTCAATCAAATAATTTACTCCACTAGACATTTTTCAGGCTTCTGTGCCTTTTTTTGCTTTTTTTTAACCCCAGCCAAACAAGACGACATTATTAATTTAACAAATCTGTCATTTCCTTATGGCCCATTATAGTGTCAACTGCTCCTGTCATTCGTGGGCCTGCATTACTGCTCACTCTCAACATATTTTGCCAAATTTTCACCATAAGTTTTCTTTATGCTGCTTTTTCCTTCTTATCTGTATATTTTGTCTTGTTTATCGGACTCTCCTGTCAGCCTTGTTTCTACCAAGGTGTTTCTCCTTACCTGTTGCACAACTTAGTTCTGTAGCTTGTGTTTCCCTATGAACAGGGGGTTTCCCTTCCCATCCTGCTGTCGGGACACACCTGACTTCCTGCCTCTTACGTGACTGCATTCTAGAGAAAACAAATATTTCTCCCTCTGTCAAAGTGCCTTTATTTTCTAACTCCAACAACTCCAAACAAAAGTGACTCAAGAAATAGATAATTCCTGTAACGTGTTCATGAAATGCACACTTTCCACATTTGTGCTGCTAAAGTTGGCATTATCTATTCTACACTTATTTGCTGTACAGCAAATGGATGTAAGTTGATTTATATTTGTTAGTTTATTATGAATATTTGAGAAAAATTTAATACTAATACGAAGGAGCTGGTTAGATTTCTGCACTGTTCCGCTATTGATTTTGATGGTTTTAAAAGTTTTGTTCTTACATTTTTCTGTTATGTGCTGCCATAAGGTCATACCTTCTCAATCTGACTCTCAGGCATGGTGACCCTCAGGTCAAACCACCACCTTTCTGATAGAGCAGCCTTATGGTCTTCTGGGAAGATGGTAGCTTTACTTTTTACTATTTTACTTAATTCACGTATTCTGCAGTATAAGGAGACTTGGGATGATCACAGCAAATTATAATAGATGAATGCAACTTAAAATTGCAAGTCAATTAAAGTTTACAACTGAAGCAGGAAAAGACCATTCATTACATCCCACAGAAACTAGCAGGATAGAGAATCTCAATTAAGGCAAGGCTATAATAAACCAACTTTCTACTCTAGTTGCTACAGATCAGCTTTACAGACATTGATGATGCATGCAATATCCCTTTGGACAGTTCTCCCATCGATAGTTCAGTGATCTAGCTCTCTACTATAATCAACAGATCAATTTGTTTCAGAAACAAGACCTACTGCAACACCAGCACTGTACAGGTAGCTCCATGATTTAATTCTGACTTCTGCCATTGAATATACAGAAGTTATCTGCAACTTAAGTGACTTTTTTAGAAAAATAATTTGTACAACAAGCTCAGCAACTCATTATATCCAAGTTGCTCTGAAAGTAACAATAATTTTGCCATGCAAAACTCAATTTTGCGAGCTTAATTAAAGCAGTGTGATAGCAAATCTTCCATGTGATATCATAAGAAATCCAAGAAAGCTAAAATAAGTATATTTATATAGAGTTTTAAACACTATGAAGTGTTGCAAGGTGCTACACAGGAGGGTAATAAAGCAAAATTTGACACACAGCAATCAAAGAGATATTAGGCTAGGTTACCAAAAACTTTGTAAAAGATTTAAGTAGGAGTAGAAGGTAAAAAAAAGAGACAGATATTTATGTCAGGCTGTTCTAGAGCCTCGGTAACTGAAGGCAGTGTTACCAGTAGTGGAGCAATGAAAAATAGAGTTGCTCAAGAGGTCAGAATTGGAAGGGTGCCACTTCAGAAGACTGTGTGCTGGACAAGATTACAGGAGAGAAAAAGGAGAAGTCATGGAGAGATTTGAAAGCAAGGATAAGAATTTTAAAATCAAATTGTTTAACTGAGAACCAGTGTGGGTCACTGAGCTTGGGTAATGGGTCAACCAGGACTTGCCACAGTTAGGACAAGAGAGTGTTTCAGATGATCTTAAGTTTACAGTGGTACAACCTCAGAGGCTGCCAGGGTCATGCCTAATAGGTAAAAGGACATTAATGAGGGTTCCAGCCGCACAGGAGATTAGGCAGATATAGGTGATGTCATACAGGCAGAAATAGACAGTGTATGTAACGGCAAAGATATATTGGCAGCATATCAAACTAAGGTTGTGAACAGTCGGTTTTGGCCTCAAACAGTCGCCAGTTTGGGGAAAGGAATCGACATCTGGGGAATATGAGATAGCAAGGTGTAGAGCTGGATGAACACAGCAGGCCAAGCAGCAAAGCTGGGGAATAGTTTGCCTGCAGGGCCCAATGACAATGGCTTCAGTCCTTCAAATATTTAAAATGAGAAAATATTATTTCTTCCAGTACTAAATGTCAGAAAAGCAATTTGAGAATTCCAACTGTAGAAAGATGAAGAGAGGTGATGAGATAGATAGATAGATCTGGGCGTCATCAGCATATGAGTACCCACAATATAAAAGCACTGCTTGAAAATATAAAGCCCATACATAATGTTCAGTAGCTGTAATGACCATTTCAATCAATAAATCTTGCTAAACTTTTGAAGTACGACACCTTCATTAACATAGAAATAATAAATGCAGCAACTGAAATATATTTAAGACAACTGGAATCATACAAAAGTCCTGTGCAGTTGCACGTTATATACACTATTAAACTGCTTTCTGGAACACTCAATCTCAACAGGTTTATCTTACAATCTTCTTTCTGTCCTCAAAAGTCTGAAAAGCCACCCTTCTTAATTTTTATCCCATAATTCATCCAATGAGGCACTACACCATATTACAGCATCATTTTTACACGTATATATATCTAAACATTGATGGGAAGAGACACCTTTAGAGCATATGATTAACAAGCTGAATATCTAAACCATGCAGCAAATACTGTAAAACTTTGAGGGAGAAAGGTATATATCCAGGTTCACATCAGGACATAAACAAAACAGTAAATGTCTTAAGAAGTAGTCGATTATTCTCAAATTACGTTTTTTTCCCCTCCAGATTAATCAGGTTTGTTGAAGAAAAGGAAGCCAGTTTCTTCTCCACATTGAAAACATCAAAGCCCTTTGTAGTTACCAGATATTAAAATTACTACAACATCGAAAATTATTCATTTACACTGCACACCGAAGTCACGTCTTTGTCAAAAAAAAAACTTTAGTTTACGCCATAGAGATTGAACAGCAACGTTGATGCATTTTGACAGTTAAATACAGTCCTGGGGGGGGGGGG